TAATAAAAGTTAAATATTTTTTTTTTATTACAGCTCAATTAAATCTATGTGAGGTATCTCAATTCTGAAATTCTTCTAAGGGCAGACAGGATGATATTAACATACCAGTGTGCAGCAAAAAGATGAGACAGGTTGGCATGAGAGGTTTTAAGGTCCTTGAGTCGAAGTGAAGCCTCTGTGTACACAAGCAGGATCCACAGGGACACCGTTGATATGCAGATGCCTTTCTCTGCAGGAAAATATTTTTAAAATTAGATGTGAAATGAAGGAAAGAATATCCATCAAAATAGAATCACATTATTTAATTAAAATATGAATAATCCACATACTCACCTGTGTGCCATATGTAATTGAACAACACATAGGTGCTGGCCACAAAGAACAGCCAGTGCAAAGGAACAAAAATTAAACAAAAGATGTCAAGAGTGAAGGCAGCACAAACAAAAACAACACAAATAACCTGCAAAAAACAACACAAAAACCCTCATTAATTTCAGTTTAACGCACTAGATTCATTCTGTGGGATTATAATCATCATAATCATCTGTCTGGGCACCCAATATGAAATCACACAGCGGGGGTTCTCACCAGCCCGTGGCAGTGGAAAGTGGTGTACACACTCCCGAAGAAGAGCCAGCATGGCCACAAGTACTCCAGTCTGAATTCGAGGATGAAATCTGCCAGCAGCACCAGCGTCCACATCATCATAAACTTCAGGAAGGTGTACGCACTGCAAACACACACATCCTTGTTATTATCATACACCAAACATCAGAGGGTGTGTGCAATCAGTTTGGACACAACAATGAAATTTGTATCCAAGGCTCTGATTCTAGCAAACAAAAACATGTTTCCGGACACAGCAAAGCCTCTTTGAGCCAAAGCATCAAACACACAGGAGCCAATTCAAGGCTGGGAATCGGATACACGTTGCTAGAACCTATAATTGAGCAGCTGCGTCTTAAAATTGCGGTCCGTCCTTTTCAGGCAGAGGCACTGCGGAACAATGACTGTTCCCTCATTCGTTTTACGAGGCGTCCACGAGCCAAACAGGAGCTGTGGTTTCCTCCTTTGTTCTGCGCGTCCATAGACTGCTATCACATCACCCCTTCTTTGTTTGGTAACCATGGCAATATTTCATCTGGAGGAGAGAGGGGGAGCACCAGAGCATCCTATCGCACATGCAAGTTTTAGAGCCTGCTTTTTTATTGTTACGGATATAAAGTGTAAGTGGATTTATCTTGTGGACATTTTTAAATAGATAATAAACAATAAAAAATTATAAAAAGTGTTATTTTATCAAAAAAGTGAGAAAGAGCAGCAGCTTAAATACATCATATTAGCTCAAATTAGCCTTATGATGCTACTTTAAGAGTGTTTTTTTATTCTATTTCACTTTTATTCTACACATAACATTATTCCACAACAACAAAAGAGCAATATTTAGTCTTTACGAGAAAAAGGGAGGACTATTGTATCTGAAATTCTTCACATACATGCAAATATATGTTGTATTATTATGAATAAAGTGTATTTTAATTTATCTTACAGGTATTTTTAATTATAGCTGCCAAAAGTACAAGTTGTGCCACAATAAAAGCAAGAATTGTAGGCTGTATTTGATTGCAAATTCATGAAAACAAAAGAAGACAGCTTGTATTGTCCAAAATACAATACATTCGACAGATTTGCATTTGCTGCCTTGCTCATGTGAAACAATGCACAATTAAAACAAGTGGTTTCCTTCTCCTGAGGTGGTCTTTTCTTGTCTGGACTCTGTCTAGACGCTTCAAATTATGATTTTTAATGTGCAAAATGAGCTGCTCTGTTTTTAGCCTAATAGGAAAATACAGTAAATATTATCAGAGACAATTATAATTTGATAAATGTGAATAATTTGTGCATGATTGAGGAGATAGGAGGACACAGGAGACAGTGTGGAAGCAGATGTAAGAGCCTGAGGAGAAGCAGGCCGACGTCAACTTGCACAGCTGCTGATTTCCGTCTTTCTGTAAACAATTTGGGGCTGAAGTAAGTGGCACAACATCTCCACGCCTCTGTGTGCGCAGTTAAACCCGCAGTGAGGCGTTCAAACTCCAGCAGCCTGGGTGGATGTGAGATGTGAGACGGTGAGATGGAATGATGTGTGTGATGTGAGGCAGACAGGTGACAGCGGGATGACGACGGCTGAAATCTACACAAAGACGAGGCACCACAACAAAAGCAGCCTCCGCCAGCCAGCCAGGCGACGCGGCGCTGTTAGCTACCTCTCAGACAGCTTCTCCGTTATTTTCAGCTTTTTCATTTTCCGTAGCCTGCTCGCGTCCACATAGCGTTTCTTCATCTTATGGCTTCTGCTCCCTCCGTGCTGGTTGTTCTCACACCGCGGCGGCAGCAGCGGCGGCGGCGGCGGGGACAGAAAGAGGAGCACGGATTTGATGAAGAAAGTCCCTCCTTGTGGCAGAAGAGGAGGATGTGCAGCTCAACCTGTGATGATGATGTCTGCGAGCACATACAGGCGGCGGACGGTCGTTCTGCGCATGCTCAGAGGAGGTTGTACCTACAAGTGTTCATCGCAGGAGGGGAGCAGCACAACACACTGTACACACTGTACCCAATATATGCTGCATTCATTATTTATATAACAACAATTATAATAGTGCCAGCAGCACTAAACGTAATATATATTTCAAAATACTATATCATATTATTATCACTGCTATTATATATTATTTCCTTCCACTACATACTACATTAAAGTGGTGTAGTTGTAGTTGATGAGGTGGGTATGCCACTGGGTAGATGGGTAGGTTACTAAGGAGGAAGTGGGTACACTCCCCTACATCCCCCTGAGACCCTGTGTCCTCATATGAGGACATTACATTTTTGGGTTTACTGCACCTTACACTTCATTCTGCATAACTTCGACTTGCTGTCCTCCTTTGTGGACACATTTTGTGCCATCTAGTGGTTGTAAAAGCACAATACACTAACAGATTATATTATTAATGGTTCGTCTATTCATACTGCAGTGCAAAGACAAAAGGCCTTAACTTCAATTTTGGCGAAAATGAGTTATTGTCATTTTTGGAACAATAAACATCAGTTTTATCATGTGGACAAATATCTTGAGTCAATTTTGTTGTTTTTTTGGAAAAAATATGATGTTGTTTTTGCCGTAACTTCCATAAGCCGAGGGAAAGCCAAGGCAGAAGCCCGTAACATCAGTTGTGGTTCTTTGCTTTTGTTCCGCGGCACTCTAGAATGCGCGAATTAAGTTACGGTACTCTGCCTTTGTTTTGCCAAGCACCAAAGTGAAGTTACTGTTTACCGCGCTGGAGTTACGGTGATATGCCTATGTATTATATGTGATTGAAGCACTTCTGACACGCACCTTTAATACTTCAATAAAGTGTACTTAACAAGTGTATTTAACAAAGGGCATTGCTACATATTACTGGCATAGCCAAATCAGCTCTAACTTTCAAATGTAAGAAATAGGAGGGAGGTAAAGTGTTATTTTATTTCAAATTTGTACAATGATGAGGTTTTGAAATGATCCAGTAATGTACTATTGCAACCTTCAAATGCTCATTATTTTTTATTTTTAATATTCTGTTTATGTAATATTAAGCCTAACTAGACAAAAATCACTAAATTTTAGTTTAAGGTTATCATTGTTATCACAGGAAAATATTATACAAAGTGATAAAAATCCAAATGGGCAATAAAATAAAAGTTAAGGTCTTTTGCCTTTGTATGATCCATTATTGTTCTGCAGACAATGCAAAGGCAGAATACAGTAACTTCCGAATAAGGGTCAAAGGTCAAGTTTAAGCTTAAATTTTTTTGGTGGATAAATAACTTCATTTATAAAAAACAAAATGCCAAATGTCCAGTGTTCTACCTACAACTCATTTGGCGGGACAACAAGACAACATTAAAGTCATTTTTCTCAGTTTCACACTCTGGTGAGTTAAGGTCTTTTGCCTTTGTAGGGCAGCGATAGTTCTGTGCACTTTTGTAAATCACACATAATTGGGCATTAGTAAAATAAAAGTGAATTTATTCCTTTAATGGTGCACAATAATCTAGGCCGATTCATTAAATTACACAGGGGATTAATAAAAGTTAAATATTTTTTTTTTATTACAGCTCAATTAAATCTATGTGAGGTATCTCAATTCTGAAATTCTTCTAAGGGCAGACAGGATGAT